AACTCTCTTCATATATATATATATATATATATATAACAAATTGAATCAGAAAAATATTAGAAGTAGGAAAATTGATAATGAACTAATTTTACATAATAAAAGAAAAGTTGAATTATAAATCATCTAATACATGAAAAGTAGTTATCATTGTCTTTTCCTTTGTTAGAAGAATGTTCTTAAGAACATCCATTACTTGTAACCTGCAACATAGTATGTGAGGAAAATTTTCAACACTCATAAATTTGATTTAAGTGTTGGAGTTGTTAAAGCTTTACCTGAACTTTCCTACTGTTGTAATATCTTGTGGTTGTGTTATCTTGTAGCTGGTCAAAAATATCATAACAAAAGCTTCATTAACTTTTTTTCATGTGTTACATTGTATTTTAGGTGGCCATTATTGAAAGTTAGATCAGGGAAGCTATTGCTATGATCTTGCCTTTGCTTTTTTTTCTTAGGTGGAGGATTCAAAAGTAATTGCCATATGTAGAACTTCAGAAGTTAATGTCCTGTAAATCAAGATTGTTTGATCCTTGTGAGTAATTAATTATTACTTGAAGAAATGGAAATATGTTACAAGCACTATGTGAGGTGTTAGGAACAAAAGTCCCACATCATGTGGGCTTTAGCGAAGATATCCCACCTTTTGCTATACAATAAAGGTTCGCTGGCCTCTTTAAACACAATCTAAATCTTCTTTCCTTTTTTTCTTATCTTTTCTCTAATTATAGAAAGAGTTCATTTTTTTAATTTAAGAAGAAATTAGGGAATTTTTAATTTTTAATTTTTTGTATATATTAATAATTTTAATTATTTTTTTTATATTTATTATAATTAATAATTTTTTGAAAAACAAAATTTTATAATAATAATTTTTCTTAAATAAGTATTTCTTGGGTGCATAAAACAAATATGTGCAGAAAAAGTAGATACATACATAAGAAATTAATTTTAAAACAAGCCTTATTGAAAATTAGATAATATTAAACAACGACCATATATGAATGTTAATACTAAATAGTACTCTACTCTAAATAGTACTCTACTCTATTATGTTAATGTTCTTTATCTTTAAGTTCTTTTTGTCGAAAAAAAATGTTTAAGGTTGAGACTAAGATAATTAAACCTTGTGTAATGTAACATTTGCTTTTGAAGTTCACAAGTAAGATTTGTGTTAGATTTATTTGCCTAGTTTTGATAGATGAAAATGGTTCACATGTGCAAAGGTTAGCTGGTTCTTTGTCCATACCTTGTCTATCTTTTGAGGAAAGGTAGTGCAAATATTATCTTGTTATATGTAAATTTACATTATGAGATTTTGTCAACTTGTGTACCTAAAATATCAAAACTTGATTGATAAAACTCTGGCTTACATGATGCATTTTGTGTTCATCCTAATAATAGGTGACTTTATAAATGTGCTCCAAAAAATACTGCAATCAAAAGTAAAAGTCATAGTCTCATTGAAAAAAAATATAGTGAATAATATAATGATAATAAGATAGTTGATATCAAACCTAATAATTTGGCTCCAAAATGAACAAAAAAATCTTTTATATTGATACCAATTCTATAAAAGCATATCACTAAAAAGTAAATGGTAATAATATTGCCATGACTTTTTGTAAATGATAGCAATAGAAGTGTATGATTAAGTGTAGTAGATTACCATAAATTTTGGAAAATCTCTTTAAATATAACATTTGTCATTCTATTCATGAGTTTCCTTCTTTGTTATGAATCAAAATCTTCAACTCTTCTTTACTTTGAACTCTAGAGAAAGTTACATACAATTGACTATGACAAAAAACAAGTTTTGACAAGTATAAACCAATTCTATGTAAAGATTGTTCCTGTGAATTGTTAATAGTCATAACATATGAAACAATTATAGGAAATTGCCTTCTTATTAATTTGAAAGACCATGGAGATTGAGAGGGTGACAAAGAAATGCGAGGAATATAAATAAGTTTTCAATGTTCTTTTCATATGATTTTAATTGACATGATTGGCCAACTTTGTTACTATTAATCTTGTACCGTTACACAAACCTTTAAAATGGTCAAGGTTCCTCATTAACATGATTGGTATTTTAATTTTAAGTTTAATTTATGATTAGGAAAACTAGATGTCTTCAATGTGTTTGGAAACTCTGGTGTAATAAACTGAAACACAATATTGTCTACTACATTTGACCTATCAACAGAATCAAAACTTAAAAATTCTTTTTCTTCACCAGGAATTAAAGATAAAATATATTCATTGATTTGGTCAATTGTGTCAACATTTGATGCCAAAATTACTCTAGCCTATAAGAAATCTTCATTATTGAACAAATTGGGTAGATTTGGGTAAGTACTTTCTTGACACTACATTGAAGCTTTATAATGTTGACACACAAATGTTGGGTCTCCTATGTATAAATAACCTAATGATCACAATACAATTAGTATTCAATAATGGAACAATGGAAAACGAAGTTTACCTACTTTAAATACCTATAGTACGTACTTCGCACAATTGATTGTATATTGTCGTTTTCCATTATATCATCTTGATCATGGTCTGATCATAGTCATGACTGATAATCTGTATCAAACAAGCTTAATTTAGGCAAAACAAACACTATATATATTGTTACTCCAATTACACCATGATATGATCAAATACCTTCATTTTCATCATGCAAGCTCAAATGTTGTTGTTGTCCTTGTATTTTTTGAATTTGTCTATTTCTTATAACATATCTTCCTGCTTTGAATGTATGATTTATGCTTGTCTATTTCTTATAACATATCTTCCTGCTTTGAATGTATGATTTATGCTTTGATTTTCACCTACTCAATTTGTTCCAGGATCCAAATTGTTCCTTGTGGATATTTCACCAAATTTATTAATTAAATTGACATGTAAAGAACTCAAATCATTGATAGTTATCCGACTATAACTTTGCATTTGAGTCATGCTTGACCGAGTATTATTTAGGAACTTGTCCTTAGGATGTGAAAATCAGTCTCATTATCCACAACAAAAGATATATCAAATAAATGAGTGTCATTTTTTATGCGAGTTTTACCATTTGAAGAAATTTTGATTTGCACACTAGTTGAAGACCCTATTGAATACTTTTTTTCAATAACTAAGTTAAAAAACTGAAAATTAACTTTAAAGAATAAGAAGAAATAAGTGATACATTGGTGTTCTCTAACATTAGTGGATCATTTTCTTTTGACCTCCCCATTGATTCACATATTTTTTTATTGTAATATTAATTTACATTTTAAGTGTGTGTTTTTTTTCGTAATTTAGTTTAGGGTTTAGGATTTTTCATAATTTAGTTTCTTGCTTGTTCCATACCTATGACTAAGTGCAATCACAAAATGGGACTACCTACGATAGCAACCAGCAAGAAACAATTGAAACCTTCAGAAATTAATAAGTTGAATTTTGAAGCAAACATTTCAGAGAAAAAAAATAAAATATTAAGATTTAGTGCATCCATAACTTAGACCTCTTTTTGTAGAGAAGATAGAATTAAATTTATTTTTCATAAAAAGGTAAGTATAACATGAAAGTGCATGTTAAAAGAAGAAAAAATGGTTCAACAATAATCTTTTTTATTGTAAATATATCAGTACCTCAAGAAGAGCATTATATAATACGTGATATTAGAAAGAACATTATATAATTGTAAGTATAACATTACAATTACTAAATAGAATAATTATTTAGATCAAGTAATGATCAATCCTTATAAGAGAATGTAATTAAAGCATGTTAAAGGAATCCACACGTTTTTTTTTTTAATATTAATTTACATTTTAAGAGTGCTCCTTTCATGATTTTGTTTCTTGTTTGTTCCATACCTATGACTAAGTACAATCACAAAATGGTGCTACCTACAATAGTAACTAGAAAGAAACAATTGAAGCCTTCAGAAATTAATAAGTTGAGTTTTGAGACAACATTTCAAAAAACAAAATGAAATATTAAGACTTAGTGTGTCAAGAAAACTTTTTAATTTGCTTTACCATATAAAAGACATATGTGAATATATCAACGATTCATTTCCTTTTTCAAAACAGAAAAATATATGTGCATGCTTTTCATTAGTCTACTCCATATTCAATCAGAAATGAAAGTTCAAAAAACAAAATGAAAGATTCAACTTTACCATGTGTGTTGATCACTCTGTTTTGCATAATAAATGTAGCATACAAATATAACAATGATACTCTTCAATACAATTTGAGGCTTCTAAGCCTTCATCTATGTATTCGTTCACCTTGTGAATTAGGTCCTTTCCTTTTTCAAAGCAGAAAATGTATGTGCATGTTTTTCATTAGACAAAAATGGAACTTCATTCACATTGATTAAGCAATCTCTCATCAACATATACTTTCAACTTTGGTATTGTAATTGGTGCACTTGTAAAGGGAGGTGAAAAAAAGTAAAAGCTATCAAGTACTTACTGTAGCTAACAAATAAAATAATGATATGTTGAGCATTTAGTGGACACATCACATCAGTAAGTAGCCTATTATGATAGTTGTGATTAGGTGATAATTAAAATTTTACAGTCTTACTTTGAAAGCAATTTCAAAGATCATTTCCTTTCCTTATATATCAACATTAGCTTTTAGTAGTGTTTTGAGATGCATATATACACACACAAAAAGCGTAAGTGAAAAACCTGAACATCTAAAGTGGATTGCTCTGGAGGAAAGAAAAACAGAAACATAAAATGTTAGTAAAATATAAAAGTAATTGTGTATATTAATATTACAATGTATATAGGACTGTTCATGCATCGAAATTTTGAATAATCCAAACCGAATTGAACTAATTTATTTTATAAAAATGATTTGGTTAACTGATCTGTTTTTTATAAAGTGAATTAGTTTAATTTTTTTAAAATATGAATTTTTTTTTTTAAATTGGATCAATTTAGTTTTTATACTCAAACACTTGTTAAATTTATTTGAAATTACTTTATTCTTTTACTTAAATTCAATTTAGGCGAGAATCAAGCATCCATCCTTGCTTCCCCTCACACGGTTCTCATTATTGTAATTCAATCAATCTCTTTGTTTATTAGATAATTCTCTATTTTACTTACTATTTTGATTATAAATTTATAAGTTTTATATTTTTTTAAGATAATGATGATAATAATAATAATTAAAATTATTATTATTATAATAATAATACATTTCGACTCACGTTGTCTTTCTTTTACTAAAATAGCTTAAAAGTGTTGAGATTTATGTTATACTAATATTAATCCTAAATTCTATAATTGTGGACAATACCTATATATGAAAAATATTATTCTCGACTTGATTTTTCTTTTATGAATATTATTCTTCGACTTAATATGTAGAGCAACTAATGATCAATCCTTGTAAGAAAATGTAATTAAAGCCAACTGATATATAGAATTTTTTATATAGAGTCAAGGTTAACAAAAAAAGTCAACTTCAAGGCCTGACTACATTTCTTTACTTTTGAGAAAGATAAAGTTTTGTTCATCGATAAGATTAAAAACATTTAATTCTCACCAACAAATACACAAGTCAACTAAAATTACAAAAAGTTTCATTTAACCCTAAACACCCAATACAACTTCTTTATTCAAATTTCCTATGAAAAATAAATGAGTCATTGATGTGTATTAAACAGTTGTCTTAATTTTGTATATAGATTGGAGTACCCTTTGAATTCCCTTTTCTTAATATTATATTTTTTGTTTATAAAAAAAAATACTTCTTCATTCAGATTTTACATGCTTTACGGGCTTTGAAGAAGATAATTGCACCTGGCTAGGCTAAAGTCATCAACAACAAGATCACCAAATTGAGAATCACCAAGTAAGACTCTTTTAAAAGGAGTTTGAAAAAGAAGCAACTCAGGATCATAATCTGTCATGCCTGACATTGCTTGTTGAAAATTTTTAACAAACCAATGAATAGGGAAACTTTATAGACTGATATTTCTAATTTAAACAAACCAATATAAGACATTTTATTATAAACTCATTGGAACTGACATTGCTTGCTGAAAATTTTTAACAATCCAATGAATAGGGAAACTTTATAGACTGATATTTCTAATTTAAACAAACCAATATAAAACATTTTATTATAAACTCATTGGAACTTACACTATTTGCTACATCATCCAACCTTCCTACAAAAGACATTGTCTTTCCTTTGATATCTGTCTACAATGATTCCTCCATATTCTACAACCAATACAATTATTAAATTAATACAATGTTAAGTGTTGACCATGATATGAAAATACTCCAAGTATACCTTAGGAACATGAATTTTGGCAAGAACAAGAATAGAAGAACAAGTTTTATCTCTTACTACTTTTGATTTTGAAGGCAAGCTTCTGGTGTTCAAGCCTATCAAGTGCTTCAGGAATGCACCTGGGATCAAACTCACCCTCATATATATATATATAAACAAAGACATTATTATGAAGATTTATATTGAAATGCATATAAAAACCCCCAAAACTAACTCACACCTCTTCAATCATCTTCCTTTTAATATCAGCAGCTGATTCATTAATCAATTTGAAAGCTTCTTGGTCCCATAAAATAAAGATAGCATTCTATTTGTGGTATGCTACTTTAACATCAATTCTAAAGCTGGACAGAACAAAGTTCAGGTCATTACATATATGATTATATGAAATCATCATTTGATTAACCCTCTACAAGACATACCATGGAGCAGTTAAATTAATCTCAGAATGACATTCTATACAACTTTTAACAGACTCATCATTCTTTCTTTTACAAATTGGACAAGCTTCATAGCTCCAACCATTAGCAACACACACTTTCATAATCTCAGCCACAATCAAACAAACAAAATCCTGTAAAGTAATTTTAGTCTAATAAATCATAATTTACATTTAGATAAGATATCAGGACATATATTCCACTATACCTGCTTGACATGACAAATTTCATTTAAGCTCAACACATTCACATTGTTCAAAAGCTTTTCTTCTGCACTGAGTTGAAGTAGATGATGATTGTGTCATCTTTTGAGTATAGGACACAGTTCCACCCTCACTTAATTCTAAATTGAAATCTCAATGAAAAAAATTAGGTCATTATATACATCCAACACACAGTACTTTCTTTTTTATTTAATTATAAAAACCATTAGAGTATACATAAAATATGGCACAATAAACACAATGTACATAATAAAATAAACTATATCTTATAAACAAATTCAAAAATGTTACTTACAAATAGAATACCTTTTTATTTACATATCAATTTGATTTTTTAATAGTACAAACACAATACCTTTTTATGAATTCCTGAATCTCAGCTAGATTTTCATTTATGAAAAGCTTTGATTCATACTAGGTATTTTTAGTTGAAATCTTAAAGGCACCTAAAAACCTCAACAAAAAGTCATTGAATCAGTCTATGACACCAGAAATTGTTAGAATTACAGGGTTCAATATTTAAGTAAAAGTAATTAGACCTTCAGGATGTTTGATCTTTGCCAATGTTAGTAGCAAAATAACTGGACCAAATTCACGCTTGTCCAAAAAGTCCCTTAATTGTTGAGTATAACTTTCCCACAAAGTACACAAGACCATATCCCCACTGGAATATTAGGAATAAACACTTAAATAAATGTAACACATTAATCAATGAAATGAAATAAAATAAAATAAAAACACAAGTTTAAGTTTACTGGATATCTTTCAGATTCAGAGCAACTCTTGCTTTCCCTAACCTAACTCACATGCACTTTTCTACAATTTCGTTCTCAACTTTCCCACAAAGTACACAAGACCATATCCCCACTGGAATATTAGGAATAAACACTTAAATAAATGTAACACATTAATCAATGAAATGAAATAAAATAAAATAAAAACACAAGTTTAAGTTTACTGGATATCTTTCAGATTCAGAGCAACTCTTGCTTTACCTACATAGCTCCATTGCACCACCTTTATCAACTCAGCAATCACATCTATACGAATCATAAAAATTATTTAAGTGAATATATGAATTGACGCACTTAACATAATTTATTATATATAAAATTTATCTATTAGAAAATCTAGATGAGCTTTCTTACTACTAATGTCTTCAAACTTAACAAAATGATAAACATTTTTAGGGATATCTAACAAATCTTGATCTTTTATCTTTGTACCTTTGACAAAATGCAACCTATACATATGAGAGGTTGATCTAGATGGTCCATTATTTTTATCCACCTCAAAATTTTGAACCACATAAGTAGCACCCTCTTTCAAAACGCCTTTCCATTTTTCTGCGTCTATGTGTTTCACTTGAGTAGAAATTTTATCATCCCATTAGGTAGACATATTACAATAATAAAACACAGTTTAAAAAAAAAGGTCCAATGACACAAATGAAACATATAGACATTATTATACATACATGTTTATTCATGAAAATTATTTCCATATTTGGTCTAGAACTATTATCATTAGTCCACATATTCACAATTGCTATTTCTCATGTTGGGGAGTTTTTAACGCTGGGGAGCATTCCACATTATGGGTAGTGAGTAAGTTACACAAATGAGCTTTAACACCACAACATATCCTAAAACCTTAAGACTTTAGGTAGGTGGGTCTTTCTCACTTATATATTACTCAACATGCTCAATTCTAACCAATGTGGCACTTCACTTCACACTTGAACTCCAACACTCCCCCTCAAGTGTAAATCCCTTCCACATGGTCACGCTCTCCCTCAAGCGGAAGCTTTTCTTTCGTCCACAAGTATTCAATGGTGGCCTTACTTGCACTATCGTTGCACAACGACACACGTCCTCCACACCTCTAGGGAGACTTTCAGTACAAGGGATGATCCTACTCTTGGATCTCCTGCCAATTCCATTTAGGATCCCACTCTTGGATCCAGCCAATACTCGTCTGAGCCGATCACCAGTCACTTGGTCAAACCATTGGCTCTGATACCAATGTTGGGGAGTTTTTAACGCTGGGGAGCATTCCACATTATGGGTAGTGAGTAAGTCACACAAATGAGCTTAACACCACAACATATCCTAAAACCTTAAGGCTTTAGGTAGTGGGTCTTTCTCACTTATATATTACTCAACATGCTCAATTAATGAAGGTGAAACAAAAATAGAAATGGAAGAGAGATAGAAGAACCGAAGGAAAGACCCACACACGAACGGTCTCAAGCACCAGGAATCCCTTCCTCAACTCCTAGAAGTTGCCCAATGTGTGAATGAGGGAAGAATCCTCGAAGATTTGATCAAATATGAGTTGGGTGAGTCAGGTTAGGGTTACCACGCCCGACGCATATACTCTTGCGCCCGGCGCAATGTCTTCTAAAGAGTTTGGTTGCTCTCTGTCTCAAGGCATGCCTGGCACGGATACTCTTGCGCCCGACGCAGTGCTGAGTTACAAAGTGGTGTTCTCTGTCTTGGCCAAGCCTGGCGCGGATAGTCTTGCGCCTGGCACAAGTACTCTTCTCCTGCTCCTTAGCTCCTTAAATTTCTAATCTTATGGGTCTTCAACCTCAACTCTCTAACTCAATACCTGTACAAGAACCGAAGGAAAGACCCACACACGAACGGTCTCAAGCACCAGGAATCCCTTCCTCAACTCCTAGAAGTTGCCCAATGTGTGAATGAGGGAAGAATCCTCGAAGATTTGATCAAATATGAGTTGGGTGAGTCAGGTTAGGGTTACCACGCCCGACGCATATACTCTTGCGCCCGGCGCAATGTCTTCTAAAGAGTTTGGTTGCTCTCTGTCTCAAGGCATGCCTGGCACGGATACTCTTGCGCCCGACGCAGTGCTGAGTTACAAAGTGGTGTTCTCTGTCTTGGCCAAGCCTGGCGCGGATAGTCTTGCGCCTGGCACAAGTACTCTTCTCCTGCTCCTTAGCTCCTTAAATTTCTAATCTTATGGGTCTTCAACCTCAACTCTCTAACTCAATACCTGTACAAAAAATGAGGTGTATCAAGGTATTGTTAGATGAATTTTGGGTTAGCTATATCTACACATAAATTGAATCAAAAAGAGAACAATTATATTGCAAGAGTGCATGGGGTGAATGGAATTGTTCAATAATTTCTATCTAAACATATGTATAAATGAGACTTAACACAACGATAACAACAACAATAATAATGATAACCACAATAATAATAACGACAATAGTTATACTAACTATCACCACTATTACCATCATCACCATCGTTGATGACAATATTGTGGTGGTGACAATGGAGATGGTGGTGATGTAAAAAATTAAAAGTGACAGAGATCATGACAACAATGATAGAAAGAATTATGATGACAATGATTTGTACATGATATAACTTTATTTGTAAATTAATTTTAATTTATAAAGAAACTTAATTTTTTTTAAATGTTCTTAAAAGGGTTTATTCAAAGAAATCTTTACTATTTTAGTTATGTCACCGGGGAAAGTGAAATTTATAATGATAAGTTTATGGTTACTTTTCAACCCCCCTCCCCAACCCAAAAAAGAAGAGTTTCAACTTGCGTGTTTGATTGGCTTGTGCATGTGTTATGTGTATATATGATACTAAAACTTTCATGCTAGCTAGCTTTAATTTGTTCCATTTAAAAAAAGAAACGGAAGAAGGAATGGACAAAATGTTAACATATCTACTTGATGTGTATGAAATAACACCTCTTGAAATGTCAAACCCCTTAATAAATTATATTATCTCAAAACATTAATCTTTAATTTCTTAATCAGAGGCTATCTTGTTAAAAAAAATGGCAAAAAATAACAGTATAATATATATGACAACTATGTTGATTTTTATAATAATTATTTTGAAAATTACTAATAATAATTTTGAATTAATAAATAATATAAAATAATTTACACAAAAAAATTAAACTATTTCTGTTTTTGTCATAATGGGATCGTGTGAAGTTTTGTTGTTTTCCTCCTAGTTTGGTCAGTGTATTTTCTTTATTTGGTCAAATGAGTTTTATTCCTCTAATAATCAGGGTGTTGAAGCATGACAGGATTAATGACTGTTCACAATTAAAAACCTGAAAATGTCGTTACAAAGTGGTGTTCTCTGTCTTGGCCAAGCCTGGCGCGGATAGTCTTGCGCCTGGCACAAGTACTCTTCTCCTGCTCCTTAGCTCCTTAAATTTCTAATCTTATGGGTCTTCAACCTCAACTCTCTAACTCAATACCTGTACAAAAAATGAGGTGTATCAAGGTATTGTTAGATGAATTTTGGGTTAGCTATATCTACACATAAATTGAATCAAAAAGAGAACAATTATATTGCAAGAGTGCATGGGGTGAATGGAATTGTTCAATAATTTCTATCTAAACATATGTATAAATGAGACTTAACACAACGATAACAACAACAATAATAATGATAACCACAATAATAATAACGACAATAGTTATACTAACTATCACCACTATTACCATCATCACCATCGTTGATGACAATATTGTGGTGGTGACAATGGAGATGGTGGTGATGTAAAAAATTAAAAGTGACAGAGATCATGACAACAATGATAGAACAAGAGTGCATGGGGTGAATGGAATTGTTCAATAATTTCTATCTAAACATATGTATAAATGAGACTTAACACAACGATAACAACAACAATAATAATGATAACCACAATAATAATAACGACAATAGTTATACCACATATTCACAATTCTCACAGCCAACTTCCATGTCTCCCTGCTATCATTTATCTCCTTGATGCAACTGACTTTTCAAGAGATGTTACACTATGACACTGCATGCAACAGAAAATGAATTCACTAGTAACTTAGAACATACACAAAATAATCACTTAGCAAGTAAAAAACTAACCTTCCTCAGATTGCATTTTCATAAGAAAATGTTCAAATTTACAAACAGAAGAAAATGCTCAAATTTACAAACTCAAAAAAGTAGACTTAGTCATTTATGACTTTCACATGTACAAAAAAAAGAAAATAGAACAAATAATGCAATTGTTCAATATGGCATTTGGAAATCAAGTCTACAAACGACAACTTAAACCTATGCGCTCCAAACCTGAGGATCCAACATCTTTTCCTAAAAAAATGGATGGAACAGTTGAGAGTTGAGAAAGTAGAGTTAAGAGCTGAGAGGAAGAAGAAAGTTAAGCATATAAGAGAAGAGAGAAAAGGACAATTTTCTACACTGTCACAATCTTGCCTGGGTAGATGTTTAAGTTGGATCGAAATGATGGTCAATAAAAACTTAGTCTATTAGAGTTTAGGGCATTAGAAAATGTTTCTTTGTCAGATAAGATCTCTCAAATATCTTATTAGGAGAACCAAAGGCCGGTTGGTTTTAGAAAAAACAATTGCAAAAAATCTGGAAAAGCTTCGTGCAAGGAAGAAGCAATTTGGGCGGTTTTTGCTAAAAGATGCTGTGTCCAAGATGAACACTCTTTTATTAAGATATAGAGATTTATTTTGGGCCTTAGAATTTTGTTGGGCAGTCACTATTCCTTTGTTCTGTTTTTTTTTTCATTTTTTTTTTTCAAACGTTTTAACTCTTCCTTGGATATAAACTTTGATAGTTGATATCATGTAAGAATTTAGGTCTAAATAATCTTTTAGTCTTACTATTTTTTTATTCTGTTGATTTGTTTCTTGATTTGATCTTTATTAAAAGTTTTTGCTTCATTTTAGTCTCTAATATTACTGTTTCAATCCTTAAAAACTAAAGGTTTTAATATAAATTCCTCATGTTAGAAGATTTTTATTTTTGTTCCTCTAATATTAAAAAATTCTTATTTTAATCATTTTTATTTAAGAAACATCAAATTTGTTTTCCAATATTTATTGACCATAAATCATCACTTATCAAGAAATACGACAACAAGAACTAAAATGAAAAATAAAACTTAATATGATCAAAATATACAAACTTTAAGGGGAACAAAATGCATATCATATATTATATCGACCAAAAAGGTTAAACCTAAAATTTACACATGGGCCGTTATCCAAGTTAGGAGAATGGGTTTGTAGGCTTTTAGCTTGAGTGAGCTGTTTAAAAATGCTTTGAGACTTTTGGACTCATGACCCTTTTATATCTTTTAATTTGGCTCTAACCTAACAACCAGAAACTTATTCTCTAACAAAAGATACATACATTTATCTCTAAAAAAAATAAAAAAAAGATACACACATCTATGGCATCCATAGAAGTAGACAAGGATAGGGGTGGGAAACAAGGAGGCATGCTGAGAAAAAATGATGGGAGAGCAACATATCCTCTTGTACTGGAATTTTCACGAGATAACAGTATCGTACACTGCTTATACATCAGATGACATGACAATATCCCACACTGCTTCAGTGGTTATATTCGTGGGAGGCGCCACACTAGTAGCATCATAATATCTTACGAATTGGATTTTCATTTAAATCCAGAAGCCTACCTAGCAATTGAATATTTGAATCGAAATTGGAAAGCAATGCAGTAAGCAACTAACTCAGAACCATTCACGAAGATTCTATACTGCAAACTAAATGTAGTGGAAATTTCTTATCAATGCATGCAGCACGTGCTAGATTACACAGTCCTACTTATGCAACCATGTCACTTATATGTGTGAATTCATTGATAGTCTGACATTAACCCTTGCTTAATATTTTTCCACCTATAATCAGGCTGTGTATATAGTTAAGAGCATTATTAGGGTTTTCCGTACCAGTATTCTAGCTATGGCTGCAAAGAGTGCCAGTCTTCAACCATGCTTTAGAATATAACACCAGGCACATGCGTGATTATGCGATATCATGAATTTAAAAAAACATTAATTTATTAAGAAAAGAAAAGGAGGTTTCAAGAAACAAAGGATGCTAAAATAAATAATGAAAAATAAAACATCTGAGATATGGAAAGTTGGCAGTTCGTGAAGAATTACTCAACACACAATATTAGCAAAGGAAGAGGTTCTTGACCATTTGGTAGATGCCTTAATAGTTTACGGTAACAATCAGGTCTAATAAGTCAAGGGGCACGGTTATTCATTTGTATAATGGCCGAAAAAGAAGAAAAAACGAAGTAAACATTTAAAACTTTAAAGTAAAACACATGATAAAATCATAAAATATCATAATATTGCTTCAACTGGATGGCCCTAAGAAGACCAAATGCAGATAATGATATCAACGACAGAAAGGACCGGCACAAATCACTATCCTGTACAAATAGTTATTCAAAATTTTAATAAATATATAGGTTTTAGGATGATGTTCCCTAATCCCTGGTCATCAGTGTCCACTTTTCTTCATGTTCATTGTCATATGTGATCACAACATCATTAGTTATGTTAGTATCCTCTTGTATGGTGTTGTCTTTGTTAAGAATGTGAATTTAAATCTAATTCAATCCTACAAAATCAATTTGTAAAATAAAACTTATTCCTATTAATATATTATATTTTGATCATACCATTAGTCAAAGTAACTTATAAGATAAAGATTGTCTTTATACTCTATTTTAATTATATCACTAGTCGATGTGACTTATAAGGTGAATATTATCTTTCCTTATGCACCCTATTTTAACCATGTCATTAGTTCACGTAGGATATCCAACACATGGGAATTAATGACTCTACCAGCACATGCCAAGAAAATTAGAGTGAAATGGGTTTACAAAACCAAATTGAATGAAGAAGGCAAGGTTGACAAATACAAGGCCTGGCTTGTTACAAAAAGGTACACACAAACTAAAGGGGTAGACTATAATGAAGTGTATGCTCCGGTAGCTTGATGGGACGCAATTCGGATTATGTTAGTTGTGGCAGCATAAGAAGGATGGAATGTGTACCAACTAGATGTGAAAAGTGCCTTCTTATATGGAGAATTGAAGGAAGAAGTATATGTGGATTAACCTGAGGGCTTCATCAAATAGGGAGAAGAAGACAAGGTATACAGGCCGAAAGCCTTGTATGTGTTAGAGCAGGCACCAAGAACATGGTTTAGCAGAATCGAGAGTTATTTCCAGAGAGAAGAGCAGTCATGACTATACTGTATTCATCAAGAAAAGAGAAGAAAGACTAATCATGATAAGTCTGTATGTTGATGACTTGATATATACTGGGAGTGATGAATTGTTTGCAAGGTTTAAGAAGTCAATGAAGGAAGAATTTGAGATGACAAACCTTGGCAAAATGAGGTTCTTCCTTGGAGTTGAAGTAAGTCAGAGTGCAAATGGAATCCACTTATGCCAAAAGAAATATGCAAGAGAGGTTCTGGAAAGATTCAATATGTGAAACTATTATTTTGTCAAAAATCCAATAGTGCCTGGAATTGTGTTGTCAAGAGAAGGTGGAGAAAATGTCGATAAAACCTTGTACAAGCAATTGGTAGGCAGTCTAATGTACCTAACAACTACACGTCCAGATATGATGTATGTTGTGTGTTTGATTTCACGTCACATGGCTAATCCAAAGGAGGAACACATGCAGATTGCAAAAAGATCCTAGAGGTATTTAAAAGGTACACCAGATTTTGGTTTGTTTTATAGAAGGAAAGTTTCAAAACCTTTGGCATATATTTATTAGGGATGGCAAAACGGGCCAGCCCGGCCCGCCATTGGCCCGCC